CTCTGTTTCCAAACGCTTAATGGTCCTTTGACAGTTTCATGACAACATGGTTTTCTTATCTATTATTCATGTCCCTCAGAAGGAGGGTGAATTTTCTCAGTCTGCTCTCCAAGGAGGAGAAGAGAGGAGGAAAGAGCACTTAGTGACCATGGAGCAAAAGCCGGGTTTCCCATCTTCTAGCTCATACCATCATGGGCAAGTGCCTGTTCCATCACCCCAGGTTTGCCCCTCATCGGTTGTGTGCTAAGGCAGCAGGCCGCAGTCAGCACCTGCCACCTTGAGTTGCTGGGAGATTGCAAATGTGGAGCACGTGCTTTAGAATCTGGTCTGGAGTAAGAGTCCGGGGCATAGTATCATGCCCATGTCCCCAGTCCTATTGTGACCATTTTACAGGTAAGAACATACAACGTCTTACTGAAGATCCCATATCTGGCTCTTTAACTCCCAAGCTAATGTATCGTCTCCCATTCCCTTTCCCCTCCCCTCTCCCTCTCTCTCCTTCTTCCTCCCTCCCCCGCTTTTTCCCTTTCTCCCTCTCTCCCTACGTCCCTGGTACTAGGAATTGAACCCAGGGCCTCACACATGCTGGTAAGCACTGTGTTACTGACCTACTCTCCAGCGCTCTTTTAAATTATTGACTTTGAGCTGGGTATGGTGGCAGGAGGGGCAAGAGTAGACAGAACTCTGTAAGATCACAGCCAGCCTGGTCTACACAGCCAGTTCCAGGCCATCTGGGGCTACAAGGCCCTGCCTCAAAAAAGAAAAAAAAAAAGTTATTGGCCTGAACTCACTGTTAGTCCAGGCTGCCCTTGAATTTCAATCCTCCCTCAGCCTCCAAAGTAGCAGGGACCACAGGCCTGCTCCATCAAGCCATCTGAGCTAATGGTCTTTTCCCTTCCTCTACTGCTGAGAGTACACAGGACTGGCGCTGGCCTGGACATCAAGGTGTTTTGTTTTTTTTTTAATTTTTTTTTAACATCTTCACTTTTAAGAAGTCATCGGTGGGCTAAACACATTTTCTTTCCCCTTGGCACTTGTGGGGCGTAGACCTAGGGAGGACAGAGGCAGGAGAGCAGGCTGCTTTCTGACTGGTTTGAGATCAGACTCAGGCTTCCCCACAATTCTGGATCCTGTAAGAAATCTCCACCTCTTCCCATATAGCTCTAGAAAGCCCAGGAGCAGTGAGATGCAGTGGTTCTCAACAAGGGCCTAGAATGGAGATTTGAGTTCTCTGATCCCTGGGAGGCAGCAGGCACAGCGGTTATCCCGGTTATCCCGCCTGATTGCTCAGCAGCCAGGGCCCAGGGCCAGGTTGCTGCACTTGCTCCTTCATGTCTGCGCATGCGCTGGCGCAGGCTCAGCCTCCAAAAGTTAGGAACACCGCCTGGCATGCAGGCAGTGGGTGGGGACTCAGCAGCTGCAGCAGCAGTAGAAGCAGCAGTAGAAGCAGCAGTAGCAGCAGCAGCTCTAGTTAATACTTAAGTTTAGCGTCACATTTGTTACAATGCCTAAAGGAGGAGGATGCTGACGTGTGCCCCTTGCCCACCCACCTACTCAGAATGGAGTCCCTCGGTTATCCAACCTTTTATAGAGTTGCTGAATAGGTTTTTAGCTCTCACGTTTGGACTGGGTAGGCCGTGCAGTTGCACTGGCGGGGCCTGGGAGGCTGTGCCCCCACTGCTCAGCCAAGGTCTCTATACTCTTCTAGAAGGCTCTGCCCTCGAAAGCCAGGCTCTCCCGGGCCCCTAGAAGTGGCTCACAGAGGCCATGCTTACTTTCTTACCTACCTGTTCTCACTTGGCCCTGCCGGCAACTCCGAAGATACCCTCTTCTGAGGACCTAGGATGACCTGGTCAGCCCAGTGCTGAGCGGGATGAGCTGATCCTCCTAGGCACCCAAGCCTGAGGGCAGGACAGGGTCCCTCCAAGGCCTCGAGCACTACTCCCACCTCCTCACTCCAGCTCCGGTCATCATCAGGAAATGGTTTATCCAGGCAACACCTTTTCTTGGTTTCTCCTTTTTGTTTTCGATTGCCTAGAATGACATAAATAGTATAGTGTAGGGCAGGAACACTAGCTTCTGGGGGGGTGGGCACCCTAGGTTAATGGCCATTTATTTTATTTTTATTTTATTTATTATTTTTATTTTATGTGTATGCGTGTATTGCCTGCATGTAGGTAAGTGCACCCGTGTTGTGCAATGCCCACGGAAGACAGAAGAGGCTGTCAGATCCCCTGGGACTGGAGTTACGGACAGTTGTTAGCTGCCATGTGAGTGCTGGGATTCAAACCCGGGTCTTCTGCAAGAATAACCAGTGTTCTTAACCACTGAGCCCTCTGTCCAGCCCCCATTTGTTTATTTTAAAGATTTATTTTATTAATTATTTATTATTTTGGGTTTTTTTTTTTTTTGAGACAGGGTCTCCCTGTAGCCCCTGAAACTCACTATGGAGACCAGGCTGGTCTTGATTTCAGAGATCCACCTGCCTCTGCTTCCCGAATACTGGAATTAAAGGTGTGTGCCACCACATTCTGCAAGATTTATTTTATTATTTTTATTTATGTGTATCTGTGTGGGGTGGGGGGTGGGGGTATGTGCACGTGAGTGCAGGTGCCTGAGGAGTTCAGAATAGAGTGTCAAAACCCTTGGAACTGGAGGTAAAGGTGGTTGTGAGCCACTGATGTTGGTGCTGGGATCCAAACCTGGGTCTTCAGCAAGAGCAATAGTTGCTCTTTACCCTCCAGCCATTTCTCTAGCTTCCAAGTAGCCTTTTATATTATTATTATTTTTAATTTATTATTATTATTATTTTTTTTGGTGTTTTTGAGACAGGGTGTCCCTGTAGCCCTAGCTGACCTGGAACTCAGTATGTAGGCCAGGCTGGCCTTGAACTCACAGAGATCTGCCTGCCTCTGCCTCCCAAGGACTGGGATTAAAGGTGTGCACCCCCATGCCTGGCTCCAAGTAGCCTTTTAAAAATACTGTCCACCAGATTAAGTTCCCAGAACCCAGGGGCAGCTACCAACTGTCTGTAACTCCAGTCCCAGAGGATGATGACCTCTTCTGGTCTCCATGGGCACTGCACTCATGTGGTATGCTCACACACATGCAGGCAAAACATAAAAAATAAATAAATTTTGAAATGCTGTTTAGTAGGTCTTGTGAGGCAGGCACTTTCTAGAGCATTGTGCCAAGGCCATACAGTGATTAAAAGTATTTTGTAAGTCCTCCTAACACCTCTAGCAATTAGCTGCTCCTAACAGATGAGGGCATCACTGCATGGAGCAGTAAAGGGGCTTTCTCCAGGTGGTATAGCCTGAAGTCATCATAGTGCAGCCTAAACAAGGAAGGACTTGGGAAAGAAGGCAGCAGAGGAGAGGTGTGTGGAGCAGTTAAGAGGCACCAAGTCCACCAGTTGGGGTGTTGCCTAGATCCTGTCTCCTGGGACCCCCGCACATTAGGGGTGACTGAGTTGGCCACTCTCTTCTTTGTTGCCAGGCTGGAGTGTGGAGACACAAAAAAAGAAAGCAAGGGTGAAAGGAAGGTTTGGGAGGCTGCAGAGGGCCTTCCCAGGGAAAATGGCATCCTAGCAGAGCGGAGCCCTGAGGTGAGGTGGCTTCTCTCCTGGTCATCACCAACCGATACATTCAAGCCTGTGTTTGGATGGCCCTGGGGCTCAGGCCTTCAGGTCTGAGCACTCAGGAGCTAATGTAGCCTGTGGTCAGAAAGACAATGGGGAGGGGGGTGGCCTCCTTCCCAGATTCTTTTGGCTGGGGGCTTTGTGTTTGAATTCATGAATAGTCTCAGGTACTAGAGCCAAAGCTCACTGAGAAATGCAACCTCAGCTCTCACCTCTACCTCTGTGAGTGAATCTCATCCACCCCCCACCCACAATCTCAGCAGTTTCCTCAGATCCTAAAAGAACCTGCATTTCCTCTGCCTAGTTAGGGCTTTGGCTTCCTGTGTTTTCCCAGGGCCCTTGATAGGTTCAGGAAGATGGAATGGCAATCAATTAAAAGAAGAAGAAGAGGAGGAAAAGGAGGAGGAGGATGAACAACAGTAAGGGGAAGAAAAGAGGAGGACGAGGAGGAAGAAGAGAGGGATTGGGGGGAAAGAAAGTAAACTAGAACTAATTGACTAGCTGCTCCATATCAAACATTTAAAACATACACTAGTTCTATGAAGTACATGCATATTATTATCTTCATCTAGCAGCAAAAAATTGAGGTTAAATAATTCACCAAAGATCACTTTTTTTTAGCCCCCGCCCCTGCACCTCAAGGAGAAAGGAAATAGATCTTTTAACCATCTGCTCCCCAGCTTACTGATGATTCTCATAAGTAAAGGCAGCCTTTTCTTAACCCATTCATCAGGTACCATCCTTCCCCGCCCCGCCTCCCCCCCCCTCCCCCCATTTCTCTGGCTACTAGTTCAGTATATTCCCGGCGCATGACTCATGACGCTGCTGCCTGATTGGACGAAACCCAAGCACCCTGAGACGGTCAGTCAATTACAGCTATTCTAGGCTTCATTCACAGATTTATTAGCTTGCACACAACGAGAGAAATTCATTCGGCAAAGTTCATTCATAAAAATTTCAATACGGCGTGTCGTTCGCTCATCTCATCCTTCTGCTGAGAATGAATTCCTAAAGGATGCTCTAGCAGGGTCCTAGGGGAGGACGCTCTGAGCTAGGATGGGCCGGGCCGGGAGGGATGCGAGGACCACCAACGATGGGGGCGGGGGGGGCGCCGCAGAGAAACAATGCGAACCAGCGCCCATCACAAGGACTCCTGGCCTGTGGCCCAGAACGGGATGCAAGACTTGATCCTCCGAGAGAGGGCAGCCGTCCTAACCCCGAGCCCAGACAGAAGGGCCTTTGACTCATAAGTGCTTTTTATCCTTCCCTTTGTAATGAACAATCACTGGAACAAATAAAGGGTTAATAGGCCAGCCGTTGCCCCGCCCAGTGGGAGCTGAAGGGAGCAGGTTTGAAAGTTCCTGTGTGCAGAAGGGAAGGTTGAGGGAAATATTTCGGCTAAGGCTAGAGACGTGGCGGGACCCGCCGACACCCGCGGGGTGTGAGCGCAGGAGTTGTCTGAGAGCAGCCGCAGCCTCCCCGGCTGGGCGCCGGCTTTCCCAGCGGGGACTCCGGGGCGACGACCCCGGGCCTCTGCCGGGGCCAGGGAGGACTGAAATCAGAGCTGCAGAGTCGGCCCCCTGGACTGTCACCCTTAAGCGGCCAGGGACCCAGGCGGGTGGCCGCCAGTTGGAGAGCAGGCGGCTGAGTCCTGCGGGCTTTGGATACCGGTACCATTCATCTGTTCATCTACTAGACAACAAGGCGGTTTAGGCAACGCTACCTTGTCTCAGCACTGCCAAGGCTATGCGAGAACGCGGCCAGGACAGTCTGGCAGGACTCGCTCTGTATGTAGGACTCTTTGGGCACCCCGGGATGCTGCACAGGGCCAAGTACAGCCGCTTTCGGAACGAGTCCATCACGTCTTTGGACGAAGGCAGCCCAGGAAGCTCGGGTGCAAGTAAGAGTTCGCCGCCTGCTCCCTACCCGTCGCTGGCTCCTCACCTGCCGGCTGAAGATGCCACGGTGCCTCCCCACGAGAGCCCCACCCCGCTATGCACCTTGATCCCCCGCATGACCAGCATGAAGCTGGCCAACCCAGCCACTTTGCTGAGTCTGAAAAACTTTTGCCTGGGTACCAAAGAGGTGCCCCGTCTGAAACTCCAAGAGAGCCAGGACCAGCTTCCCAGCAGCTCGGCTTCCCCTGAAACCAGTCTAAGTAGGACCGGGCCTGCACCTACACTGCATCCAGACCAGGTGGGGTACAGGGTCACCCCCTTGCCTCCTGACTGTCCACTGCCTGGCCCTAGAGAGCCAACCCTCAGAAGCAGAGCAGACAGGCACTTTCTGCAGCACCTGTTGGGGACCGGCATGAACTTCTGTGTGAGGGTAAGTCTGGTTCTCTGCCTGCTCCCCTAAGTAAGCACTCCCCAGAAGGCCAGCTGAGCTTTCTGCAGGCCTTCACTTAACCTGGCTGGGTTCTAGGTCACAAGAAGACATTGTGCAGTTGGATCAAGGGACAGTAGAGCTGGCTTTACAAACTGCCTACAGGTACCTGGCATGTACCAGGCAGACAATCTTTGTTTCAAAGGCATGAGCTGGAGCGAACCAGTAGGTAGCTGCTGATGTAGCCCTAGTTTCTCATACAGACAGCCAGGATGGCAACTTCTGGTCCCCTCTGGTCCTAGCATTCTGGCAGTCAAGGATTCCAAACTGGATTCCTAGTGGAGACCTGGTAGCTTATGTGGCCCATTGTACAGTAGATATTTCTGTGCTAGAGAAATACATAGTATAAGGGACTTGATTTGGTTCAAATTTCTTTTTAATTTGACATTTAGTGAGAATGTGGCCTAGACTCTAGCCTGTGCTTGGAGCTGGTCTTAGCACTACAGCAGGAAGGTCCCGGTGCTATGCTCAAGTCAGGGTCCTCATTGGCCTTACTCCAATCAAGAACTGGGTAAATGAAGATGCGGGCTCTGTCTTTTAGAACTCATATCTCAACCAACATAATAATAGGAGAGTAATATTCAGCAATTGATACCAGAGTGAGAATACTCGGGGAACTTAGAAAGGGGGAAATGTGGTTGTATCTGGGATTTGTGAGAAGGTATATCCTGACAATGTCAGATCTAGATGGAAGAAAGATTACTGACTGGGGCAAGAGTAGGATCAAAGTAACTGTGGCAGCTGTAGGGAGCATCCATAGCACAGGCCTACACAGAGAGGAAAGGGATCCTGGAGAGTGGATGAAGATTTGGGAGAGACTAGCATATAGCTCTCAAGGAAAGAATTCATCAAGTTAGCCCAGGGAAGAGGAAAGTGTTGTCCAAGGCACTCTCCAGCCAAATGAGGAGGCTGTGAGCACAGCCTGATGAAGAGGAACCCTCCTAGGACTTGTCTGTTGATTTATTGACTTGGATTGAAGCAAGAAAAATTGAGAAACTGTGAGGTCAGTGAGGAAGCCTGCTATTGTTGGCCATGGAAGTTGTAGACAAATAGGATGGAAGATTGTGAAGAATGAATAGCTTCCAAATTTAAGTCTTTGAATGATGTTAGTGATGCCAGTGACAGGAGCAGAGTGAAGCAGGAAAGGCTTGTATCGAATTACAGCAGTGACAGCTAGAGGTGAGGTTGTATAGGTAGGCCATCTTGTAAGACTAGCACTGAGGCCAGAGAACTGAAGGTAATAACTTAACTGGGGGTAACTGCATCGCAAACCAACTAGGATCTCAAGGAGGGTGGTTGCTGGATGCTGGAAGGGTTGCAGAGGGTGTAGTCTTGAGGCAGACTTGGCGAACAGATGCCTGCAGCCCCTAAGGAAGATAAGCCTGGGGGACACTCAGCTTCTACCCCCCTCCAGTGGCTCCTGATGGCCCAGTTCCCATGTATCTGTGGAAAGTTCACAGGAACTTCACATTTATCAAGCTATAATGGGTGCCAAGTTAATGAGTGACTCCAAATCTGTTCTCTCTTCACCTGCCCGTCACCTTCAAATTCCCTACTCTTGGCCTCACCTTTCCTTCGGGCTTCTACCCTCACCCCTACCCCAGTACCTTCCCACACTTACACACCTGTATAATTTTAAACATGAAAAGGGTCATAGTATGATCTCCATTTTCCCTACCCAACATTTCAGGACTTTTAATGAAAACACCAGCTGTCATGGTAGTAATAACTCATCTCAGGAAAACTGCTGACCCCATGATCCAGATGAACACACACTATCACAGCAATATTGTAGCACACGTATCTGGTTAACTACCTTCTGTAGTCAAAGTACATAACAGAGCTTATCTTAATTTTTATAGATCTTCACTTTGAAAGACAAAAAATTCTATTTGTCAAGAGTTCAACGTCTGAGGAAACTGAATCCCAAAGAAGTAATTTTCTAAGGTTGTGCTGGAATAAAAAACAGTGTTGCGATCTGGACCCACGTCTCCTGTGTGCAATTCTTAGTTCTCTTCCCCACAGGGCCCCACCCGGGCTGGCATTCTGTTTCTCAGGATTCTACTGAGATGTGAACCAGTTTTTAAAAATGAAGCACCAACCTTTTAATTTTCAGTGAAAACTATCATATCATGTGGAATGCAGTGTGATCTGTGTATGCCCGTCTATAGGAAAAAGCACACAGCAAGATTTAAATAAAAGCTTGCTTGGGGGTGATGGATTCAGGACAGAAAATCAAGTGATGTCGTTAATGGATAATGGGCATGAGGCTGGTGAGGACTTAGGTGCAAGTTCTGTGGCTAAACACACATTCTATCTCCTTTTCCACATTTTTTGACTGCTACCCTCTGTCCAGCATTTCTATTGTGAAATAATCACATGGCAGAAACTGTTCTAGGCAGACAGCATCAAGTCTAATAATAAGAACAGGTCTGAACCCTGTGGAACTTTAATACATTAGACCACTCATATAATGTTTCATATGCTATGGAGAGCAGGAAAAGAGCAGTCAGCTGGGTGGAGATAGGCATTGTTCCTCTTGGGTAAAGACCGTTGTTGCAATGACGTCTTTACTCATTTCAACAGGGACTGTGTTTTCCATCTGCCCTTAGAGGTGACTTAGGGCTAAGTAACATTTTAAAAATGACTCTTCATTTGGTCTTCTGATGTAGAATTTGCACTACTAAAAATGCTCTATGAATCCTAAGTGCCTATTTTTGAGGAACTTTTATTTAAATTCAGATTTTTAATCTCTTGAAAGCTCCACAGGGAAGTGGCCTAGCAGCCTGTTCTTTGTGAGATACCAAATGAGGAAAGGGGCTGTAGTCTGAGCTAAGTGCTAGAGGAGAAGTCCATCATGTAGTGTCAAATGGTGACTTTTGTCTTTGTTGTAAGACTAGGTCTCATCTCTCTGAGGTCTTTCTAAACCACTTCACCCACCAACAAATGCGTTTGTCTCCCAGGTGCTCAATATACTCTGCAATGAGTGTGGGAAACAAGATTCATGAAGAGCCCTGAGTTCTTGCCAGTCTCTTGCATGAGCATGTGATGACTTCAGGGCTCCTTCCTCTTTAAAGTACTAGGCTAAAGTAATGACTGATACTGACTGGATGAGCTTGGGTGAGTAGCTTCTCCCCTCTGGCCTTCATTTTTTTCGTACTTAAAGTGAGAAATTGGCAGAAAGTGCTGTCTCAGAGCTTGACTCCAAGTCACTTGTTCCATGTGGCTGAAGCCTCTTTACTATTAGGGTCTCTGTCATTTGAATTTCCTAGAGGAAATACTTCTTAGCTTCTTCTTGACAGACAGACGGAATGTCCTTCGGGGACACACTAGTCATCTCTCAGCCCCTGCTTTACACCAAGGCAGGAACGGTATGTGGAGCAGGTGGACTAGAAAGGCTTGAGGGGTTGGGGAGTCAGATTTTGGACAGAACCATGTCCAAGCATAGTGAGACTCCTGGGAGGCAGGGTGGGGGACTGAACCACTATCCACAGAGGTGGTTGACAATGTCTAGGCTCTGGGAAATGGGTGTTCATATGCTCTAACCTGCTGACCAGACTGAGCCTTGGCACCCATGGTGGCTAACATGAGAATTGTGGGCAGAGATTCTTCTGTGTTCTTTCTGAACAAAGAGGACCCATCTCTTAGTTCTGACCCCAAGCACTCATTGTCCCTTGCACAAAAGAAAGAAACCCAGTATGTTCACTCAAAAAGACATCTCAACTGGTCTATCAGGTTTTTCTGAGTTAGAAAAGGAAAGACAAGGGGTTAAAATTTCTTCACATTGCCACACCATGGGAGAATGTGAAACCTAGCCACCTTTGGGTAGACAGTCAATGGGACTAAGTGGAACCACGTGGAGGGCAAGAGAAAGACGTCTTGTCACACACATAGACAGTCTGAATACTCACTGAAAGAGGGAGATTTGTAATTCCAGGAACCACCTGGAGAGACATCCTGTGGTTTACATGCAATAAAACCAGTCCCAGGTAGTATGGTCCAGATCCCCCTAGGACAGATGACCCCCTGCCTCTACTCTCTTTTTCTAAGTTATTGATGATGAAAATGGAGGTAGTACTGGTGGAGGAAATTATTCTACTGAAAACTGTCAGCGTGGCTGGACAGTGCTGTCTTTTCCTTCCCATTTCTTTTCCTGAGGATGTGACTTAGTCTCTGTTGGAGACTAAGGAAAAGGCTGGCCAGTTTGAGCTGTTCTGCATTCTCTTTAGGCCTTCACTCATCCCTTGATCTGTCCAGTTTGTCCACACCATTGGATAGTAGAGCAAAACAGTCTCAGAGATCAGTAATTCCAAGCCCAACGTTTTACAGTTGAGGAAACAGGCTAAGAGAAAAGATGTGTCTTGCTTCAAATCACTCATCTTTTCAGTGGTGGAACCCAGACAGGCATACTGCACTCTGTTTCCAAACTCACCTATGTCTCCCTGTGCTTAGCACTAAATGAGCTACCACAATGGCCTCTGCTTTGGTAAAATGTTGGTTGTGAAAGACCAAATGAAAACTGAAAATAGTACTAGTAAGCTAGTATAAAACAAACCATGGAAGAGTGATGGGTTAGTCTGTTTTTCGTTACTTTAAGAAATTATCCAGTGAGGCAGGTATTTTATAAAGAAAGAAGTTCATTTAATTCATGCCTTTAGAAGTTGTAAGTCTAAGACTGGACAGCCTCATCTTGGTTTCTTGTGGAGCTGCCTTGGTTATAACATGGCAGATGGCATCTTAGTGGGAACACATGTGAGAGGTCACTGCAGAGACAGGAAGTTCAAAGGATTGAGGGTCCAGAATCACTCTTTAATTGCAGCTCACTCTTGTAGGAACTAACGGGTGTCCTATGAGAACTTTCCAAGGACATGCACCCAGTGACCTCATTCTCTGCAGCCCCACATCCCCCAAGAGGTCCTAGTTTTAAAAGGTCCCATCTCCTC